TGTTGCTGTAAATATTTTCTTGGAGTAATCTTGAACAGACATGCTAGCTGGTACATTCCAGATGTGCTGAGATTACAGTTTCCAAATTTCCCAACCATCCTGGCCAATATTCTGATTGACTGGGAATTCTAGGAACACTAATCCCCACACATCCAGAAGGCACCAGGGTGGGAAAGAATAATATATGTTAATGTGATGAATCACTGCAATCTCCCTATTGTAAATCAGGGTAGCAAGTTTTCAGTTAAATATATAGCAACTTTTGGCACAAATTAAGGATATCATGCAAGGTAGGGAATAGGTTCAACTACATTAAAGCATGAAAGAAAACAAAAATTGCTGAGAGAGAAGTGGCAGGTTGGATTGATAATTTATTTTATCTGAGAATTTTAAAAAACTGTAGAATTGAGGCATTAGTCAACACAGTCCAGTTTTTCTTTCCATAGAGACGGTAAATTGCTATGCCATCTTTAGAGGCTAAGCCTGGTTATTGCTGACAAAAATATTTCCTTTAGAAATGAGACAGACATGTGGCATTTGATGTCAAGGATGGGTGGTCCATCACAACATATCCACAACATTAAAAAAAACCTGCCTTTTGGCAAGTGTTTCTCATGTTGTTCTCATCAATATCACTCTATTTTGCTTCCTGAACAAAATTGCCTCAAAATCTGAAATAGCAACTTGGAACATAGTCAAGGTAAGAAGTGGACTTCTTATACATTGATGCCTGAAGAATTGGTATCACTGGTCAGAGTTTCGGCAAATGGAAAATTAATATCCTTGGTTTTTTTAAAATCAATATTTTTCTTCATGTTAAACAATAGAATATAATTTTGACCATAATATCATGCCAATAGAATATAATTTTGACCATAATATCATGTTTACTCAAAAATAAGCATCCCTGTAATCAATATTGCTTACTTCTTGTTTAGTGTCCTTAACAACTGCAGTTTGAATATGAACCTAGTCTTCATTTAAAAAAAAAAGCTTTATACCTTGTTTTCAGTGCCAATACCCACAGGGTAAAAAGTCTCAATGGAAAGTTAGGCAAGGTTTAATTTTTCCTGAAAAAATAAATATTTCGGTTCTCTCTCCTGCCTTACTGTCTTTTATATAACTACTATTTCACTAGTAGACAATATTATTTCAGGAATATATTTCAGTCCAATTATCAGGTAGTGATCCAAAAGCAGAAGGATGAAATATTGTTGGCTAAGTAACAATGCAATCATAACTCTATTTGCACAAAAGTAAGTTGCACTGATTTCAATTAGATTTGTTGCTCCAGAAATCTGCTTCAGACATTGACCTAGATATTCCAGATGAAAAGTTCTTTCTATTCATTCTGTTCTCCACAAACTTAGGTTCCGTTAAAATTAAATCTATAGTGCCAATCCTGGTTAGAGACTAGACAAATTTATTATGGCATAAGTTCTCACAAGCCACAGCCTACATTTGAAGTTATCAGATAATATTTCATAGTAATCATCAAAGACACTTGAGTATTCCTGGGGTGTCATGTGAATGACTATTTTATCAAGGGGTAATTCTGAGGAAGAACTGATTGTACAGGCTCTTTCACCCAAAATTACATTCCTTTGAATCCATGCAATATGGTTGTTGTCTTGCCCTTCATGGGAAGTGGCCCCTTACCCATATACATCATGGCAGCTGTAATGAGCAGAAGAAATTGCCGTTAGGTACAGAAGGAAGAGTCACAATCAAGATAATGATCAGATAAAAGAAATTTGAGACCAAAGCAAAGATGTAATTTGAGAAAACGTCTCTGACATGATTGTTCTTAGTTTTCTTAAAGATAAAGGCAGGGATAGGGGGAAACACATTCAAAAGAGTTACTTTGAGGTATGATGGGCGGTGTGTAAATTTTATAAATACATGCATACATGAAATAAAGGCTCAGCAGGTCTCACAGAAGAAACAAATCTCAGAGCAATAAACAGTTTATGCTGTAACTTTTCTAACACAAACATCCTTGCAAATGATTGTTCTTAGGTGGAGAATTCTTTTCACCAAGCCTGCTGAGATAGAGCAGGTGGTGTTTTCAACATGTCAAATATTGCCAAGTGAAGTTCAAGAACAAATCTCCTATTTTCATAACAAGGCAGCTGACAGACAGATGGATGGCCTTTTACACTTTCCTTTTAGACATCCGCATAAAACCATTTATATTTTTATGTAAATCCATCATGTTATGTTTTACATAACATGCTGGATGGAGAAAATTAAGACTATTAGGTGGTAATTTTTATAATAATTTCTGAGTTGGAACTTTTTTAAAAAAATCCATAGGATAGAATAATGGCTCCTGACTCATAATTTAGATCATTTGGAGTAATGGGGGGAAAAAAGTATTGTCAAAAGAAAAAAAACATTTTTTTTCTTGCTTGTAAGCCTTTGAAAGACAGAGAAATGGCTTTAAAATGTGTAACAAATACTGTATTGTTGCTGCACTTCCAAGTCAAAAATCCTATCTTTGCTCAGAATCGTATACCTCATACCAAGAAAAAATTTTCTCTGGGGTTTGAACCTTCTTCGTAGCTGCTTTTGATCTCTACAGTGGAGTCTTCTTGTAAATAACATTTTAAACAATATTAGTCTTTAAGACTTGGGAACCACATTTTCTTGATTATTTTAACTGGAATTTTTATAGTTTTGAATCACAAGATGTTTATTAGTATTATGTTTTATGAATCATATTGAATTTCTTAGCTATCAAATTGCTTTATACCATATAAACTCAAAATTTGTATCTTTTAATATTGGTTGTAAACTGCCTTGAAAGATTTAACCACTGAAGTGCTGAGAATGGTTGAGACAGTGGATTGGCTAATTTCTCTCCCCTCTCCCCCCCCCCACATCAGCATTAGTATTCCTACAGTTCAAGAGACCCAACATCAAAGTTATTTTGGTCTATTTCCCATTTCCTTCATTACATATTTATTTTTTTATTTTATTTTATATTGGATTTCTATACCGCCCTTCTCCCTAAGGACTCAGGGCGGTGTACAGCCAGATTAAAAAAACATGCAGAACAAATATTAAAAACAATTAAAAGATATATAAATTTGGCCCAATTAAAACTCATTTACCAATTAAAAACGTTTAAAACATTTAAAAACAGTTAAAAATTTCATCTTAAGCCAGCCCGGCTTGTTTAAATAAATGGATTTTAAGGGCGCGACGGAAGGCACTGAGGTCTTGGATTCTCCTTATCTCTGGGGGGAGCTGATTCCAGAGGGTAGGTGCCCCCACAGAGAAGGCCCTCCCCCTGGGGGTCACCAGCCTGCATTGTTTGGCTGATGGCACCCCGAGGAGGCCCTCTCTGTGGGAGCGCACGGGTCGCTGGGAGGTCGTCGGTAGCAGCAGGCGGTCTCGCAGATAGCTAGGCCCTATGCCATGGAGCGCTTTAAAGGTGATAACCAACACCTTGAAGCGCACCCGGAAGACAACTGGGAGCCAGTGCAGCTCGCGCAGGAGCGGTGTTACATGGGAGCGCCATGCTGGGAGCGCCGTCACTACCCGCGCTGCTGCGTTCTGGACCAGCTGGAGCCTCCGGGTGCTCCTCAAGGGGAGCCCCATGTAGAGAGCGTTGCAGTAGTCAAGGCGAGAGGTGACGAGGGCATGAGTGACTGTGCACAGGGAATCCCGATCAAGAAAGGGCCGCAACTGGCGAATCAGGCGAACCTGACAAAAGGTCCCCCTGGTTACAGCCGTCAGATGTTCCTCCAAGGACAGCTGCATATCCAGGAGGACTCCCAGATTGCGAGCCTAGGTACATTGAGTTTGCCTAGGTACATTGAGTTTAAGACCACTACTGCAATGAAACTTGAAATTTCAACTTTATTATGGCCAACAGCCATTATAAAACATTATAGAATGTCAAAGGTTTTTCAAAAGTCACATGACTTTTGGGGAAACATACAAAACCAGTCAGAGTATAGTTGACAACTGCCTTTGCTGGCACTAATAATCAAAATAATAAGTCAAAGCTATGAGAATACATAATAGGCAAACTAATCCTAATTATTTAAATATGATGGCTGCCCCTTCCAACATGCTATTTATTTATTTATTTATTTATTTATTTATTTATTTATTTATTTATTTTATTAGTCATATTTCTATGCCGCCCACTCTCCAAGGACTCTGGGCGGCTTACACCAAAGACAGTATACTAAATAGCATATTGCCCCCAACAATCTGGGTCCTCATTTTATCCACCTCGGAAGGATGGAAGGCTGAGTCAACCTTGAGCTGGTGAGATTTGATCCGCTGATCTGCTGAACTAGCAGTCAGCTGAAGTAGCTGCAGTACTGCACTCTAACCATTGCGCCACTTCGGTTCATAATAACTGCTATGGGCAGTTTACAGCTCCCTCAGAAAGACACTACATAAAAATAAAGATACAATGCATAGACTCAAAATAAAACTAGACCCATTATACAATTATCCTATATAGAATATGCTAGGTGATGCATAAAATTAGAAAGTATCAGTTTATAAAAAAGTGAATCTAAAAATCCAGCCACAAAACAAAAGCATAAACATAAGAAGTTATTCACTGTTCCAATATATATATATAATATATATATATATATATATATATATATATATATATATATATATATATATATATATATATATATAATATTATATAATATTATATAATATATATATAATATATTATATTATATATAATATATATAATATAATATATATATTATATTAATATATATATATATATATATATTGTAATATATATATATATATATATATATATATATATATATTACAAAGGAGTTTAAGAGGCTTGCATATTTTAGCAGGTGTTTTTATTACAGAAACCCTTCTTTCCTTTTGGCTATAGGATCTCACTAGTAACAAAATGGATAGGTCATAAGAGTTGCAATTATATTGCATAGCATGGCTTTTACAACAACAACAGCAATAATATTACCAAATTGCAGACCAACCTGTCCAACAATAAGTTGGGGGCAAACAGCAGCTTTCCTGGATGCTCCACCGATCTCCACACTAGGCCAATCATCAATATCTCTAACCAGGCACATTCTAGTAGATGAACTTGATCATGGAGTGTTAAGTCCACAAAGCCTAAAAAAAGTGGAAAGGCAGGATTTATTCAGTAATGAGAACAATTTATAAGAATTATGAGGTCTGTGCCAAACTGCAAAGCTTTGATTGACTCATTCAATTGCAAAAGGTTCATGGATCAAAATGAAAATCACTTTGACATAGTGAATTGGATCAGAGGGGCGCAAATAATTGGTAAATATATATGAAAACAAGGCTGGTAATTTGACAAGTTGTTGCTTTTCTGTGCTTTAAAAAAAGTAGAGAAACAAATCATACATCTTATCCAGTGGTGGGTTTCTACCGCTTCACCCCGGTTCGGGCAAACCAGTAGTGGCAGTAGTGGCGGCGGCAGGAGGCTCCGCCCACCTGCCCGGACATCATCATGGATGCTCTGCTCATGTGCAGTTCTGAACTGGTAGCGAAGATAAGTGGAACCCACTACTGATGTTATCATAGAATCATAGAGTTGGAAAGGACCTCAGAGGACTTTCAGACCAACCCTCTGTTCAAGGCAGGAGAACTTATACCATACCGGTCAAATGATTGTCCATCTATTTTTGAAAACCTCCAGTGATGAAGAATCCACAACTCTGAGAAGCAAGCTACTCCACTGATTAATTGTTCTCATGGTCAGAAAATGTCTCCTTACTTACTTATTTCTCTTTAACAAATTTCCATCCATTACTATTTGTCCTGCCCTTTGTGCTTTGGAGAATAAGTCGATCCCTTCTTCTCTGTGATAGCCCTTCAAGTACTGGAAGACAGTTATCATGTTTTCCTTAATTTTTCTCGTTGACAGGTTAGACATACCTAGCTCTCTCAACCGTTCATCACACGATTTCACTTACAGACCCTTTATCATCTTTGTTGCTCTTCTCTGCATGCTTTCCATGATTATGATGTAAACATTAGAAGGCAAGTTCCTGTTTTTATAATGGAATCCTAAATGAAATGTGTAGTGGAATAATAGTACTTCTACATTTCAAAACTATTATGTTTTACAATGACTTACCATTCTAATGTCTTAAACCATGTATTTGGAATCAAACATATATTATATGCAAACACCCAAGTGCCCTACATGAAATTATGTTTGTATGCACGTACACACATTTATGTACACTACAGGCTTTATAAATTTATGACTTTTATTATTAGACAATCAGAACTTATTTTTGAGCTACGAAAAATATGATTTAAAAAAATATTTCTCTCTGTTTACTTCCTAACACTGTTGTACCATCCAGACCACCATCCAGAAGCCAGACCACGGTGGCATCACCAGCTGCTGCGTCCCCTCTGATCGCCACACAAAGCAAACTGACACACTTCATGAACACATGGCAAGACCTCAAATTCGGAGCCAAACCAAAGCCCGGGATGTGGCATCACAGCCATCTGCTCAGAACCTTACATCAAAAAATTCATGATATCACAACACTAGAACTCAGGATGTTAATACACAGCCCATTACTCAGGTCGTTAAAACACAAAAGACTAATGGGCACACATCAAAGACCTCACCCACACAGGATGTTACGAAACAGCTGACTAATCTGCAAACATCAACTCATCAAGATGTAACAACCCAGGCAACCAACCCGCTCACAACAACAAAGCCAGCACCCCACACCTCCCCACCAGTATTTATAGAGAGTTGGCAGCTCTGATCACGCTTTCCTCGCACAAGCACAAAGCCGAAGACACCAGCCTGAAGATGACGAGTGGGACCTCGTCGAAACGTCGCCAAGATACTCTCAATCTTACACGGGAAAAGACCCGAATACACCAAAACTTGCATACCTCTACCCGTGAAAATCTACAAAAACAAACAAACAAACACACACACACACACACCAAATTTAAATTAATATATAAAGAAATCTTGAGTTATTTTTGATTTTGGGGTTAGTCCATTTTAAGATTGCATTATTAGTACTAAGATAGTAATCTCTTTAACAAAATAGTTACTATGTCCTGTTCATACTCTTAAAGAGGAAAGTTAGAGATTATATGATGGACATATTTCCCCATTGCCTAACATCTTTTGATTTTCCTGCTGCATTAAAATCTCAGATTTATCACTGAATGCAGTATAAAATTAGCTCCTTAACATAAATCTAAAAATGACACATCTATATCTATCTTTATCCTTCTCTTTTTTAAGGTACTTTTTAAGACACTTTTTTTCAGATTTATTCTCTGTCTCATTAAATTCTCAATTGTTTTGGCCTCAGCCAACATTTTATCCATATGGAATATTTTGCTTTCCATGAGTAGCGCCCCTCCATGTCCACAAGAACTGAATGGTCTCCAAGTATTGGATTTACCACAAGTGAAGTGGTGTAGGGCTTCCTGCCTAAGCAGGGGGTTGGACTAGAAGACCTCCAAGGTTCCTTCTAACTCTGTTATTCTATTCTAGTCTAATTAAGGATATATCTCACATTCATGGTAGAACCTATCCACAGGTGCTTGAATTAAAAATAATCAAAACAGTGTGGAATATTAGAATACAGATACATGTATTCTATGTCCTGAGCAGAAATTGGATTATTTTGAGCACTGCTATATTTCCCCACAAAAGCTAATTCTCCACGAAGGTAGAACTGTTGTACATATAGTCCTTGTTTAGCAACCGCCTTGTTTAATAAGTTTAATTTGCACTTAGGACTCTGATGAAATGTTTTTACGACCTTCACAGGTCTTTAAAACAAAAGAAAGCTGAAGTAAGATCATAAGCATAGTCACAGTTTTCACCTAGTGACTGCTTTGCTTAATGACCAAGTTGCTGGTCCCAATTGTGATCACTAAACAAGGACTACCTATGCAAGAACTGAACAAACAAGTTTGTGCAAAAAGAAAAATAATCTATCTAATGTGAGACACTAAACAGCCCATCCTTATATTATTTGATAATAAAAAGAAAACTTTAAGGGTAAGCCAGAATGTAGCCAAGTCAGCAGTATCTCTTATATCTAAGTTTATTATAGATTTCTGCTGTAGTTTATACTTGAACATTATGCTAATTAGAAGTTTAATAGGACACCTGTAATTGATTGCTCAGAGCAGTTAGTTGCACTATTGATTGCTAAAACTCTACATTCTACAATTGATTGCTTAGAACTAGGAACAGGATGCTCTGATTAGATCTGAGAACTATATGTCTTCATTCTGGAGCTGGAAACAAAGCATTCTGCTTTGAGGATAGGAACTGTTCCTTCTTCTATTGGAGTTTAAACTGATGAAATACTGTTTCAACTAATCTGTCCATTCTGGTATATGTAGATAAAAATACAGGTATTCCTTTTTCTTTTTCCCGTTCTTTGAAATACTGTTTTCTAGTATATCCAGAGAGTACTAACATTATTGACAATATGAGAAATAACAGCCATTGAAGGAGACCAATTATTCAAAAACCTACCGATTACCAGTTAATGATAAAACAGAAGTTACCAGTTAAAATATTTGAGGCATCAGACGTGCCTGTTCATATTTCAATCTTTTGAAACGTATTTAAATGAAATTACAATGTACTCACAATGAACTGAATTTGAGGCTTTATTCTAATACTCCTATCACCTCTGGTATGGGATTGGCTATATTTTTGCACATCTATTCGGGCATCCTTAGCTTTCAAAAGATATCAGCCAGTGCTGATCTAAGCCAGGTTAAGTCATAAATGAACAAAAATCCATTCAGCTTCCTCCAAAACAAAATGAAAGATCTCACTATATCTCAACCCAATAATAATAGATGATCCATGTACTTGTCCAAAATTGCTGCACGAGTGGTGGGATAGCAAAAAAACCACACAGAGTAGATTTTCGGAGTGGTTGTAAATAAAGTAATATGCTAAGCAGTGGTGGGATTCTGCTGGTTCTAGGGGGTTCCGCCAAATCCTTTGTTAAATTGCTGGCTTGCCCCGCCCCTCCGCACCACTATTTATTGCCAATAAATAGTGGTGGGCGAGGGGCGGGCGAGCCAGCAATTTAACAAAGGGTTCGGTGTTTTTTTGTAATTTTATTGGCCTGCAGAGCTTCAGCATAGGCTAATTAGTCCTTGCTTAGATCGGCTCCCGAGTCTCAGCTGATTTGCTCTCAGCTGTTTTGCTCAGGGCTCTGCTGCTTGCTTGCAAAGAGTGCTGATTTTTTTCCCCCTAGCTATACTGAAAAACAAAACAGAAAGTAAAGCAGGCTGTTGGCTTTGCACGTTAGAAAATTAGGCAGGCAGATTTCTTTTCTTTTTCCTCACCAAAAAAGGTAGGTGCAAACAATGGGAAATTTAGGGGAAAAGAGGAGAGTTCAAGATTTTAAAACACAAAAGAAAAAAAGCTCTATTTAACTAGGGAATTGTAATAATTGAGATACTATTAATTGTATATTGTGTTGAAAGCAGAAATGATTAAGTTGTGGTTTGGAGGAATATATGGGGAAAATTATTTGGTTTATTATTATTGGTAAATATAATTAATTGATTTGTAAGAAATTGGATTGCATGGAAATAATTGGAATATTCATGTTCATATTGATTAATATACAAAAAAGGTAGTTATATAACTAATTGATTTATATTAAAATGTTGAATTTATATTAAACAACTGTAATATTACATAATTAACCAATGTGAGGATGGATATAAAAATAGATGACAATGGGAAGGGGTATAATATAGAATAGAAGGGAAAAATTGAATTTGATTAAGATTAGAGATGAGGATGAAGGGTAATATTGGTTTTTTACAAAAATAGATGAGGAATAAATATGGCAAAAAGGAAATATAGAAATTGTAAATTTAATTGAAATGACTAAACACTGTTTAAATTTGTGAACCGGCCAAATACTCTGTTCAAAGAAAATACATTGTATGTTTGTATGTGTGTTTCTAATTATTGTTATTTATTCATATTTGTTCTCTTTTATTCTTTAAAGTTTAACAATTCATTCTTTATCTTAATATCTTGATATTTGTTTGGGGTTGGCTTTCTTCCCTTTCATCTTTTTTATTGTACAGCAATCTTT